TGCCACGGGACAAAGCATATTGAATGGACGAGGTGGGCAAGTTCCAGAGGACAACCCTATCTACCAGAGGTATCCAAGTTTAAGGTGGTGGAATAAGAATCAAAAGACTGGGAGGAAGTTCTGCTTTTTTATGTTAATTAGCACCTGCTACAGCGGAAGAGGTTTCTGCTCTTCTCCGGTCCCCCCACTCTCCCTTGATCCTATTCCTTTGCATCTCATCCGTACTCTGTATCATTCTCTTGCTCTGCCTCTCACTAAAATTCTCAACCTCTCCCTCTCCTCCATCACCCTTTAAACATGCAACTATAACCCTGATTCTAAAAAAAGTCAACCTTGACCCTAACTCCTCGTCCAACTACCGTCTTATCTCGCTACTGCCTTTTACATCCAAGATCTTTGAAAGAGTTGTGTATGCGATATTAACACCCTTCCTCAAATCTAACTCTCTGCTCGACCCGCTTCAGGCAGATTTCCGTGCTCAGCACTCTGTGGAAACGGCTCTGACCAAAGTATTCAATAATCTACTCTCTGCAAAATCACTTGGCCACTATTCTATCCTACTTATCCTTGACTTTTCCGCTGCTTTTGACACTGTTGATCATCAACAGCTTCTTCTCATCCGTAATCTCAGTCTACGAGATATTGCTCTCTCCTGGTGCTCCTCCTACCTCTCCCAGTGCTCTTTCAGTGTTTCTTTCTCTGGCTCTGCCTCTTCTCCCCAACCCCTCTCTGTTGGTGTTCCCCAAGGTTCAGTATCCCTTTGTAAACTCATCAGCTCCTTTGGCTTTCAATATTATTTCTATTACTGATGTGCATGGGTAAAAAATTTGGTTCAGTTGGGAAATTTGGGTAAGTAAAAAAATGTGTCTGCTTTGGCAATTCGAATCAATAGCGTTCGGTTTAGCACTTCAGAACTGCAAAACGTCGTCACTTCGGAACTTCGGACATTCATAAGCATCCAAATGTCCGAATGGCATGAAACTCATACTAATGTACATTCAGAACAAAATGAATCGCACATGTCTACTTCTCATGAATGAAGGCCAACACCCTGACAGCCTGATTTATATACTTTTCCACCTCAATGACTGTGTGCCTTCATTGGCCAAGTGTCAGTGACAAAATCACCATTAATTGGCTGTCCTCTAAAATCAATCACAAAAAGTTGCTCATTTCCTTGGACAGGGAATAGTGAAACCGGATTGGGCAAGCAAGCATTACATTGCACTAAAGAAATTAGCTTATTGGTCAAGATTCCTGTCATCATTCACGTAATTTCCTTCCCTCTCTCTTGTTTTGCCACTTGTTTTCACTTTTGCCTCTGGAGCTACCATCAGCTCCAACATGCAGCTAGCTGCCTAGGTGTTCTCTTCAACTCCGACCTCTCCTTCACCCAATCGATCGCCATATCCTGCCGCTTCCATCTTAAAAATATGGGCCCCTACTTGACACCAGGCGTGGCTAAGGAGTTGGTCCATGCTACTATCCTCTCTTGCCTTGACTACTGTAATCCACTTCTCAGTGGTCTTACATGCTCCAAACTTGCCCCAGTATAGTCTATTAAGGAATGCAGCTGCAAGGCTCATCTTCTTGTCTGCCCGCACCTCTTATGCCTTACCCCTCTGTCAGTCCCTGCATTAGCTTCCTGTAAGATATAGGGCTCAATTTACAATTCTGATTCTTGCTTACAAATCTCTACACAATGCTGCTCCAACCTATCAGTCCTCCCTAATACACACATATTTCCCATCTAGGCCACTATGCTTTGCTGGACACCTACGTTTATCCTCTGTTTGTACTCCCACCTCTGAACACACCAAGTCTTCAGTGAATACTATTCTACCAATCTACTTCTCTATTAGTACCCTTAACTTTTGTGTCACTATACCCCACGCCCTCTAGCATGTAAGCTCATTGAGCAGGGCCCCAACCCCTCTGTTCCTGTGCGTCCAACTTGTCTGGTTACAATTATGTTTGTTTATCCACCCATTGTACAGCACTATGGAATTTGTTGGCGCTACATAAATAATGATAGTAATAATTATTATTAGGAGCAGCCCGCAATGTGTTTGTAGGCAAAGTTTTATCTGCACTTTTCTATATAGATCAGTGCATGTTGTTTTCTGAATGTTATTTTATTCTGTTATTAATAAATTTGCATATACCCATTCTTTCTTATTGCTATCACGTTTAAGGTGACATCTAGCGCCCTCTAGTGTAGGTTGAAGATTGATTTTCTTTCTAGCACTGTTTTGTATTCTGTTTTATATTTAACAGAAAATAAACGAGTGTGGGTCAGTGTAGAAGAGGCGCCAGAAGATTTTGCCAGTTGCAGAATGTTGAGTAAGAGTGTATTAATGTCCTCTAAAGCACAGAAATAACAGGAGGTATCGGGAAATCAAACATGCCACGTCCTCCCAGCATGGCAGTCGAGCCCCGACCCTGAAATTCACTTTGAATTTACCTTTTAGTGAATAATCTTGTAAGTCAACTATACTTTCACATACCTCCCAAGTGACCTTATTTATGAGGGCCCGTCCCTATTTTGTGCCAAAATGCCTATTTCAGTCTTTTCTATCCTAATAACTCTCTTTTCTAGGAGGGAGTGTTTGGGTGTATTACAGAGCTTCTCAGCAATAAAACGAAGACAGTAATGTGTCTTTATACCACTATTAATGTGTTCAGAAATCAGTTTGTGTAAATAAGAAACATTGTTCTTGTTCTAACTTTAGTTACATAAATTGTTATTAGTAAGTCACCGGAAATGTTCCAGAACAGCCCCCTGGTCCCTCCCTACTCACACCCACAAAATAAAAGTGTTCCTCTTTGTCCATTTGAAATGGTGAGAGGTATGCTTTCAGTTCAATCACTTTGAATTCTCACTTTTTAGTAAATAACCCTGTTACTGTCGATTTTTAAACAATGTCTTTCTCAAGGTGCATGTATATGGCTGAAGAATCCCATCATACACTAAAGGTAGAGAAGAGTTTCTCATTTTGTTACATATACTTCATAAAAATAATAATTTACTTCCAAAACTTGATGTAAAGATTATTAGTTAAAATATTACGGTGACAGTTGCACTTTAATGCAGATGCCTATTATAAAAGTATGTTTGTAGTATAGTTCTCTGTCAGGCCACTAGGGGGGAAGTGATGTCCTCCAGAAAATGGTGCTTGGGTACCAGACTTTGCTGCACACCCCTTTATTAGTTAGGTAACATGAAGCTGGTTTCTAGCACTGCTTTTCATTGACATCCCAGAGATCATTAGCAGTGGGCTGTTAATGGGTTTAGAAGACAGATCCTAACATTTCTGGAATCCCTGGCAAGTTGTTGAAGTGTTAGCAAATGCTGTGAATATTTACATGGGGACACCATAACTACTGCAGCATGCTGTAGCGGTTATGGTGCTCGAAGTATTTCTTTAATTCCTTTAGTGGATTCACAAAACAATGAATTAAAAATCAAGTTTGTCATATAAAGTTCAAAATAGTTCAGCTAACAATTCTGTGAATTCTCAACCTTGTTATTCCTAAATGTAGCCAAGTCAGCTTTCTATTAACTGCATTTTTATTGTTAGTAAATAAAATCCCCCGGGGGTTATTTGATAGTCATTGGTTCTCATTCATGCTTCCCATGTGTTTATAATTGTAAGAGCTCTATATCTGGCAGCAATATGACCTGTTGTTACTTTCTTTTGGCATATGTCATTTCATTTATTTTACTTATTATTTTTAGAACCATGTCTATGAAGTGCAAAGTTCATGGAGTTGTTAGTTTGGAAGACAAACAGATGGAGATGTCTTTTCTTATTGCAGCGGTAATGACATTTTTTTCGATTTAATCCCAAAGTCATAATTTAGTAAATAAATCCAAGGTTTTTATAGCACCAAGGAAAATCGCCATAACTTCCTATTTACACCAAGCCATTAGTGAAAATATTTATTCATCACAGACCATCTTGCAATGGGACTAATCATCTCATCACACAATTATTTTGAAGTGATCCGTTCTTCTTACTACACCTATACGCTGACCCCCAATAGACTGTGTCACCCTTTACTGTATTATTGTAGGGTTACCCAAAACAAAAAACTGTGCTTTGATAAAACATTGGTTTTGTTTAGTGCAACCCTTTCTAAAGTGGTCTGCTCCCCCTCTCCCCCCCACTAAATTGGAAGAAAAAAAAAAGGAAAACTAAAATTGTACTCCATGTTCTCCCTTCAGCCCAATCCTGTTCGGTGGATGTCAAGGGAAGAGAGGTCAGCAGGGCCAGCAGTACCAAAAGGCCAATAAGGCTTTCTCCTGGGGCACCCACAGAAAGGTTGCCCTGGTGGGCTGCTCCTGTCTGGGGCCAGAGCACTGGATGAGCTGCTCTTTAGCTGCCCCTCAGCACAGCCATTTCATTTGTTGGGCTCCCTCGATGTCACAGTCCATTATCTGTTCTGGGAGTAGGGTTTACTGTAACCTGGCTTTGAAACTGTAATTCACTCCTTGCAAAATTTATTTGATAACTTGTAAAAATTAATTGGAATCTTAGACATTTTAACAATCAGGACTAAATAGTGAATCTATTTTGAGTTAGTTTTCTTTAGTTTAGAAAAAAAAAATTATAAAAAAAATAAAAATCTTTAAATATTTTATTCATATTTAATATTGTGTTATGTATACATATAGGGTATCAAAAGAAAGCCTATTTCTCAAAATATCTCAAAATAGCTTTTGCATCTCAAAATATCTTTTGTCCTTAAGGGGTTAAAGACACGTTACTGTGAGTATTACTGCTGTGGACATCTGTTATACATCAGACACACCAGCAATAAAGATCTCCTTGAAAACCAGGATAGAAAAGAGGGACAGAGGTATTTGGGCCAAAATATCGACTGATGCTCTTAAATAGGGACACTTGGGAGGTATGACTGTGACAATTAGGGATAATTCTAGGCTTGATGAAGGAATAACGTCATTTTTATTAAAGACAGGAGGCTTAGTATTTGCTTGACCTTCTTTACTGACACCTCCAGCAGCAAAGAAATAGTTTATATAACTTTTCAAAAACAACCAATCAGAACAATAAAACAAAACTCTTAGGCAGACCCTCCAACTTCTTTTTTCTTTGAGGTCTAATAGGCGAGCATGAAATCCAACTGAGGCAATCGGTTACCGGCACTATTAAAGAGAAACCGACAGGACCAGCAGAAATTCCAATTACACTGCAAGGAAAAAGAAACGTGAAAGTAAACTGCCAGGGCAGAGTGTCATCCAAAACATATTAGTACTTCCGCACATTAAGACATAATGAATAACTCACACAGGCAACTAGTACCAAATCAATGGAATTCAAACAAACACATCACAGAAACAGTACAAATTCACAACAAATACCCCTAAAACAACACAAAACAAAAGCTAAATCCAAGGAGGGAAACGTCAAGTAACAGGGGGATCAATATTCGCCTTCTGTCTTTAATAAAATTTTGATTATTTTCTTCACCAAGGCTAGAATAATCCCTAATTTTATGGCAAGACAGGAGGCTTCATATTTGCTATTTTAACACCCAGACATAAAGGCTGAAAAAACATGGGAGCGTGGATGAAAATAAAACGTGCGCCAATGACTGAACTTGCATGCATGTTGAGATGTTCTTTAACCCCTTAAGAGTGGAGAGCGTACTATTACGCCCTATTTTAGGCGGCTCTAAACGCCGCCAGGCGTAATAGTACGCCCTCCGGTCTTTCTTTACTTACCCGGTTGCCGGCGGTCCCACACCGGCGATCGCGGTTGGGGGGAATCCCAGGGAGCCCCCCCGCAGCAGATCTTCCCTCCTGCAGCCCCCCCGGCCATGTGAGAGTGAGGTCACAATCACATGGCCGGGATAGCTGGCTGCTGCATTGCCAGCAGGGGGGCTGCCTGTAATGACACGTAGTCCCCCTGCTGGCTGGAAATAAAATTAAATAAAATTAATAAAGTGTAAAAAAAAAATGATATACTTAGATCATATATATATATTATCTATATGATCTAAGTATATATATACACATATACATACACACTCATACACTGGCTAGGTGTATTTTACTATTAATATATATATAATTATATATATATATATTAATATCAAATTACACATAGACTGATACTGATTAAATATATATATAATTATTGTTATATATATTTATATATAATATAAAAAAATAAATATGTAAATACATTAAAAAATAAAATTAAAAAAAATAATTAAAAATAAATAATTAAAAAATATATAGATGTGTTTTATTTCGTTCTAACTGTATTGTGATATTAATATATACATATTTATATCAAAATACACGTAGAACGAAATAATATATATATCTATATACATAAATATATACGTATATATCACTATAGATATACCTATATATAAATAAAAATATATTTTTAAATTATATATATATATATACATATATATACACATACGTATATATATACATATATTAATTCTACATATATATTTATGTACTATTTTTACATAATTAGGTATCTTAATTAATTACAATTAGCGGGACCTGCCTGACAACCCATGCCGAAAGTAAAGGGAATTTATCCCCTTAAGGACACATGACATGTGTGACATGTCATGACTCCCTTTTATTCCAGAGGTTTGGTCCTTCATGGGTTAATTTGCTAGCACTATATTTAACCCTATAACTTTCCAAGACACCATAAAACCTGTACATGGGGGGTACTGTTCTACCAAATGGCTACTAAAAAAAACTGGACGTACCCCATTTGAAATACCTTGGGTTGTCTACTATTGCAAATGGTATGCCATTATGGGTGTAAATGTAATTCCTGGGCTACTATACAGTCTAAAAAGCAACGTAACCAATCTGGCGAATTTCAATTTCAAATGTAACGTGTTATATTTGACCCTGTAACTTCCCAAAACGCCATAAAACCTGTACATAGGGGGTACTGTCTTACACATGAGACTTTGCTGAATACAAATATGTGTATTTTATTACAGTAAAAGCAAACAGTATTATGACATTGACCGTTAAAATGTCATGTAGAACTAAAAAATTTTTTCAAAATCTTGTTTTCTCCCATTTTTTTCATATTAAATTATGTTTCATAGCTAAATATTTGATATTAAATGAAAGCTCTGTTTTCCCTGAATAAAATGATATATAATAAGGGTGGGTGCATTTAATATGAAAGAGGTGAATTACGGTTGGACAGACATGTAGCGCAAATGCCAGGTTTTGTTTACATTTTGTTTTGTTCACAACGTGTACATTTGGCTCCATCCTTAACCCCTTAAGACCGGAAGGCGTACTATTACGCCCTATTTTAGGTGGCTCTAAAAGCCGCCGGGCGTAATAGTACGCCCTCCGGTCTTTCCTTACTTACCCGGTCGCCGGCGGTCCCACGACGGTGATCGCGGTGGGGGGGACTCCCAAGGAGCCCTCCCGCAGCAGATCCTCCTCCTCCGGTCCCCCCCGGCCATGTGAGAGTGAGGTCCTTGCGAGGACCTCACAATCACATGGCCGGGATAGCTGCCTCCTGCATTGCCAGCAGGGGGGCTGCCTGTAATGACAGGTGGTCCCCCTGCTGGCTGGAAATAAAAATAAAATAAATTAACAAAGTGTAAAAAATATATATACTTAGATCATATATATACTTATATATTATATATATATATATATATATATATATATATATATGATCTAAGTATATATATATATATACACATATACATACACACACATACACTGTCTAGGTGTATTTTACTATTAATATATATATAAACATATATATATTAATATCAAATTACACGTAGACTGATACTGATTAAATATATATATTATTATTGTTATATATATATTTATATATAATATAAAAAAATTTAATATGTAAATACGTAAAAAAAATAAAAATATTTAAAAAACATTACATATATATACACACATATATATTCACATACGTATATATATACATATATTAATTCTACATATATATTTATGTAATATTTTTACATAATTAGGTATCTTAATTAATTACAATTAGCGGTACCTGCGTGACAATCCATGCCGAAAGTAAAGGGAATTTAATTTGCTAGCACTATATTTAACCCTATAACTTTCCAAGACACCATAAAACCTGTACATGGGGGGTACTGCTCTATTCGGGAGACTTCGCTGAACACAAATATTAGTGTTTCAAAACAGTAAAATGTACGACAACGATGATATCACCAGTAAAAGTGAAGTTTTTTGCATTTTTCACGCACAAACAGCACTTACACGGACGATATTATTGCTGTGATACTTTTTACTGTTTTGAAACACAAATATTTGTGTTCAGCGAAGTCTCCCGAGTACAACAGTACCCCTCATGTACAGGTTTTATGGTGTTTTCAAAAGTTACAGCGTCAAATATAAGGCCTGTGTTTCATTTTTTTCACATTAAAATTTGCCAGATTGGGTACGTTGCCTTTGAGACCCTATGGTAGCCCAAGAATGAAAATTACCCCTATGATGGCATACCATTTGCAATAGTAGACAACCCAAGGTATTGCAAACGGGGTATGTCCAGTCTTTTTTAGTAGTCACAAACACTGGCCAAAATTGGCGTTTTTTTGCATTTTTCACACACAAACAAATACTAACGTTAACTTTGGCGAGTGATTGTGACCAAATGGCTACTAAAAAAGACTGGACATACACCATTTGCAATACCTTGGGTTGTCTACTATTGCAAATGGTATGCCATTATGGGTGTAAATCTTGCGAATTTCAATTTCAAATGTAACGTGCTATATTTGACCCTGTAACTTCCCAAAACGCCATAAAACCTGTACATAGGGGTACTGTTTTACATGTGAGACTTTGCTGAATACAAATATGTGTATTTTATTGCAGTAAAAGCAAACAGTATTATGACATTGACAGTTGAAGGGTCATGTAGAACTAAAAAAATAATATAGAATGGTACATGTCTTTTTCACCCTGTTTTGTGAGTGAGGAGCTACTGGTTGCATGAGAACATACACTATCACACTCAGTCAATCAGCTGCTCCAAGTCTGAAGCTTCCTGATTAAAGCCTCTGACACAAACGGAAGTGGAGGGGCAGAGTTGATTGGCACCATCTTGAAGGCTTTGGGGTTAAACCGCTAATTAACAGTTTAACCCCTGAATGTAACGTTCATGGTAATGGTTTTGCCCTGCCTGGATTAGTCTTGCAGTGTGATGACACCCACTACCTCTGAAGACACAAACTACCTTCAAGTTCAACTATTTGTTTTCTAAATATCGAAAAAGTATTCTAAGTATTCTAAAATCCCAGCAGGGAATACAAAAAATATAATTAAATTAGACATGCTGGAGTTCCCCATTTTCTAAATGCCTTTTGTCTTGTGTCTACGTCTGCTGACAATAACTGCCTTCAAATTCAAATCTGTTTTTCTACATTTTTCTAACTATTTTAAAGTGTGAAGGTGATAATTGTAATGTTTTCATTAACGACTGAGTCTTGCAGTGTGAATATAGCACAAACTGCCTTCACATGTATTTTTTTTTTTGTAATTTACTATTTAATCTAAAAAAAAAAAAACGTTTTTACATTAAATTACACCTCCTGCTCCCACTTTTTAAAAAATGTGTAGTGGTTTCACCCTTCGAATCCATGCCGCTAATAATAATTTAAACCCTGAATGTATGCTGTCATCAAGGACCTCCTCACACCATAACAACCTGATTTTGATGAAGCTGTTATGGTGCCTGGACTGTACCTTTCCCTTTACGCTTTAATGCTATCCCTGTGTCTATTTTATAGTTGTTTTTTGTAAAAAAAAAAAAAAAGTAATTGGTTGTTTTTAAAAACTTGATTATGGCTGAATTTCTGTCTAGTCATATCCATGGTAACCCTGAACAAGTATTTTTGTATGTCTCCTTAGCTGAATTCTGAGTTAACACGTAAAACATTTTTTTTAAAAATGAATAAAGACTTCATTACCCATGCATCCTTTGCTCCAGTAAACACACACAACTGTGGTATTAAGGGATATGAAACAAGTGATATAAATTAAATTAATATACATGGCTATGATTATGATTTTCAGGGCAAGCGAAATCTGGGTGAACTTACACCCAGATATAGATTTGGCATCCAACATGTTCTTATAAACTGAATGTTATATTTTTAAATGTATGTACAGTACTATAATAAGCCTTCACAAATATTTTCACCATATTCAATATTTCTATCCATCCATGATCAACATTTTAGTCCCTCCTTCTAACATCATGTTTATGACATTGCAATGAGGTCACTGGCAGTAGCATGTACATCATAAAGGTTAGAGGATAGTTAACAGGCCCTAGCTCTGACATTGTGTTATGAGGTCACTGGTAGGGATTTCTACATCATAAAGCTTATAGGAAATTTAACAGGGAGGTAAGTTACATCAGGTAGCATTGTGAAGAAGAGCTTGATCAAGGCATATGTACCATATATGCTCTGTATTTACCATTATAATGTCTGTGTGCTAATCATATGTTTTAGAGCTTCACACAGGCACAATGGTCTATTTCACTGTTTTATATTGGACTATATACACAGTATGTGATATACACTTTTTACTGTACTGTATGCAATATTAACAGGATGGATTTAACGCATTGAAGTAAATAGATAACTTTAGTTGTTTATACAATAAATCTATTGTATGTAAATTATAAAGTCATGGGACATAAGAAACTACTTCCTCTAACTCTGGAGATGCAAATTACCTTTAAATTCAAACCTTTTTTCTAAATTTCTATAAATATTTTAAAATGTGGAAGTGATCGAAATCTAAATATAACTTGGACTAAACAATTTAAACGAACTGCATTATATTATTGTGAGCAAGTCTAGTAATAAAAATCACTGTAGCTGACTTTTCCATTTTAAGCCACCCTATTATTTTCAGTGACAACGTTGCAGGAGATGGAAGCTGTTTTCCTGTGATGTCTATCAATAAGGTTGTTTTATAGATTGAGGGATTTTTGCAAATGCAGGGAAACATGGACAAGAAACCTATTAGCATTGTTTGTAATGTCTCCCAAAAATATCATTTTTAATGTAATGAATTAAAATGGAATAATAATTTTAATCAAAAAAATATAAACTACATATAATGCAATTGTGATGGTAGTTAGAGGGACACTTTATGTATCTCCCGAGATTACTCTTGTGTTTTAGTCACCCTGTGCCCATTATAGGCGAAGAGTGTGTGTAATGTATTTGTTTGTGGTTAGTTATTTTCTACCCCTTCTCCTCTCTTATTGTTTTCCAAGCAGGGTGTTGTCCCATTGTTCCAGGGACATGTCCAGACCAGTTCAAAGTGGCTTCCATGAGGTGGCCTAACTACCACAGTCTCTGGCTCGCAGCTGCGACTGGGACCATGGGTGCTGTGCTGCTCCCCTCCTGCCGCTGTCTGTAGCGTGGCCGAACGGATAAGATGGGCTGGGGAGAAATTAGTTACATGGAGGGGCTGGGGGGGAGGATGAGATGTTTTTGTGGGACTTTCTCTCCTGGTCACATTGAAATGGATTCCTGGAAAGTAAAGACAATACTTTAATGGTCTTTCCCAACATACAGGAAAGTGGTCCAGCAGTTTCTAAGCTTCACAAAATGTAAATAGTTTTTGTTTTTTCTCTCAATTCTGTGATCCCTTAATTTTCTTTACTAAGAAACAAGGAACATTTCTTTGGACTGGTTTTCTCTGGGTTCTTTGATTGGTTGAAAGAGCAATTTACACATTGACCTGTTCTGGTTCAACCCAAAATTCAACTGGCTTTCTACCTCAAAGTTGATGCATCCAAAATAATTCTAGGAATTTTCCTGTCTCAGAAATCAGGTGAAAAAAATATATTTTCACCCAACGGCCTTTATCTAATGCAAGCTATCTACAAGGAAACAATAACATTTGGGAAGAAGAGCTTCAGGTCATTAAGATTGCATATCAGGAGTAGTTTAACATCTTGGAAGTAGCTTTACACTGGTCAGACACAACATTAAAACCACTGACAGGTGAAGTGAATAATTTGATTATATTGTTACAAAGACAAGGGGGTGGAACAGGGCCGCTATCAGAAATTTTGGGGACCCTGACAAAGCACAAGGTCTGGGCCCCCCTCCCCTTCCCTACCCCCTGGGCCCGCCCACGCCCCACTTAGTCCGCTGACAATGATGCAGGAGTGAATGTGGTGTGTATAGTGGAAGTGAATTAGAATGTGTTTAATGGATGTAGTGTTTGTGTGTATTAGATACTGTTTGTGCAGTGAATGCAGAGTGTGTGTTTGTGTAGCAGATGCAGTGTGTATAGTGAACGCAGAGTGTGTTTGAGTAGTGGATGTAGTGTGTGTACCGTGATGTAGTGTGTGTTTGTTAGTACGCCACTGTTTGTGTGTACTAGATGAAATGTGGTTAGTGGATGCAGTGTCTGTAGTGGGTGTATTAGACGCAGTGTCTGTGTATAGTAAATGCAGAGTGTTTCAATTTGTGGTGGATGTAGTGTGTGTACTGTGAATACAGGATGTTTGTTTAGTGGATGCTGTGTGTACAGTTAATGCAGAGTGTGTGTTAATGTGTAGTGAATGCACAATGTGTGTCAGTGTAGTGAATGCAGAGTGTGTGTTAGTGTATAGTGAATGCAGAGGGTGTGTTAGTGTGTAGTGAATGCAGAGTGTGTATTAGTGTAGTGAATGCAGAGTGTGTGTTAGGGTAGTGTATGCAGAGTGTGCGTTGTATTGGTGTATGCAGTGTGTGTGTTGTATTAGTATATGCAGTGTGTGCGTTGTATTGGTGTATGCAGAGTGTGTGTTAGTGTATGCCGTGTGTGTATTGTATTGTTGTATGCAGTGTGTGTTGTATTAGTGTATGCAGAGTGTGTGTTGTGTTAGTGAATGCAGTGTGTGTGTCAGGGTAGTGTATGCAGTGTGTTGTGTTAGTGTATGCAGTGTGTGTGTTGTAATAGTGTTTGCAGAGTGTGTGTTGTGTTAATGTATGCAGTGTGTGTGTTAGGGTAGTGTATGCAGTGTGTGTGGCAGGGTAGTGTATGCAGTGTGTGTTGTGTTAGTGTATGCAGTGTGTGTGGGTTGTGTTAGTGTATGCGTTGTGTGTGTAAAAGTGCAATCTGGGGGTGGGGGGGAAGAAGGGGCATTTTCACATTAATTTTATATTAAATTAATTAAATTTTCTCCTGCCTCCCTGCTTCTTACCTGTGTCCAGGGAGGGGGGAGATTCCATCCCTGGTGGCCCAGTGGCATGGTGGAGCCCCCGGCTCCCTGTTACCGCAGAGGGGGCCACGCACACTGCCTCTACTCTTCTCCTCTCTTCTAATAACTCTCGCAAGACCCACGGTCTGCGTGCCATGCGGAGCATTGCCATGGTAACGCTCAGAAGGCCTCGGGTCTCAAGAGAGTTATTAGAAGAGAGGAGAAGAGAAGAGTAGAGGCAGTGTGCTGGGCCCCCTCTGCGGTATGTGTGCAGAAAGGGAAAGTGGGGTCCGGCACTGCCATAGCAGTCCGGGCCCCCCAGGACTGCCGGGCCCGTGACAACCATCATGGTTGTCACCCCTGATGGCGGCCCTGGGGTGGAATATATTACGCAGCACGTGAACAGTCGGTTCTTGAATTTCATGTGTTGGAAATAGGAGAAACAGGCAAGCGAAAAGATCTGAGAGACTTTGACAAATGCCAAATAATGGTGGCTAGATGACTGGGTCAGAGCATCTACAAAATGGCTTGTGGGGTGTTCCTGGTATGCAGTGGTTAGTACCTAACAAAAGTGGTGTTAGGAAGGGCAACCAGTGAACCGGCGTTAGGGGGCAAGGGTGCCCAAGACTCATTGATGCACAGAAGAACTAGTGTAGCTCAATTTGTTGAACAACTTAATGCTGGCCATCATAGAAAGGTGTAAGAGCACACAGTGTACCACAATTTGCTGCATATGGGGCTGTGTAGCTTCAGACCTATCAGTGCCCATAATGACCCCTGTCCACCACCAAATGGGGACATCTGCGTCAGAACTGGACCACGGAGTAATGGAAGAAGGTTGCCTGATCTGATGCATCATATTTTCTTTTAGATCAGATGAGTGACCGGGTGCATGTGCGTCGTTTAACTGGGGAAGAGATGGCAACAGGATGGGAAGAAGGCATGGCAGCGGAGGCAGTTTCCTGCTCAGGGCAATGTTTTGCTGGAAAGCCTTGGGTCCTGGCATTCATGTGGGTGTTACAGCATGAGGTAGACCTACACAATATTAGGCAAGTGGCTGATCAGTGTATGTCAATTACTATATATTCTGAACACGACAACCTACAATTGGTCATTATGAACTATGACTCGAATCGTGCAGAGATTTTTTTACAACTATCTAATACAGAAACATAGGAAGTGTGCAGGGGAAACATAGGAAGTGTGCAGGGGAAAGAGTTTGAGATTCAGCCTAAATATACAGGATACCCTGAGAAGAGGCTATATCATGGAGGAATTGTAAATTTTTTTTGTAATATCAGCAACATCCTAGGGGCCCCATCCTGTACATCATGCCTAATTGCACCTGGTCATCCAATTGTCTCCACCATAGGTAGTTTGGTGAAGCCCATCAATGTGTGGCTGGATCATCTATTTAATATACCAGTGTGTCTATCCCCACATTTGTCAAAGACACCCCGGCAGTGGAAACTAAAAATCATTGAATTACCACATTCCGATATTCTATTGGTGGCTATTGATGCAAGTATACCAGGGGTAGGTAACCTTTGGCACTCCAGATGTTTTTCACTACATCACCCAGTTGTAGTCCACATCTGGAGTGCCGAAGGTTTTCTATCCCTGCTCTATACTGTAATCTCCCATGGTAGTGGAATTTCTGCTATCCACCAGGTCCTTGAGGGGTCACCATACTGGAAAAGTCCCGATTGACTTTGCATTGGAATTATTTTCCTCGTGTCTAACCTTGAATTCATTAAAGGTTAAAGGACATCTACTACATACAGAAAATAGACACTTCCATAAGAGGCAGACAGCCACTAGAGGCCTTTCCTGCAGTACAACTCTGTGAAACAACACTGGATGTCTTTACTCTTTGCATTAGGAATCCACATTGGAAAGCAGAGTCAATACTTTCCTTGGGAGGGGAGGCTTAATGCACGTGGAGTTCTCTGTGGATTAGGCTCCCCCGATCAGCTGACTTCAGTGGAGCCCAACCCAGCACCGAGGGAGGATTGGCTCTGGAATCAGGTAATTGTTAAACCCTCACCAGAAAGTAGATGTGGGGCGCGAGAGAGATAAGGCCAAAAGGTTACTATACTGTTAGGAATACAACTTTGTATTCCTAACACTATAATGCTCCTTTAACTTGATTTTGTGCAGCATCTCTATCCAGGAACATACAATATGGATGTATTAAAGTAATTTCATGCCTTTAATCAACAAAACCTGTTTTTTTTGGTTGTTGAATATAGCATTTCCTTACTGCCACAGATAGCACCAGTGTAGGATTAATATCAGACATATGATCTCAAAACCTTTTCACTAAAGGGTGAATTGTCAAGAAACTATTTGAAATTATTTCCAATGCTAGGTCTGTACAGCAGACAAATTTCCCATTTTGGCTCTAGTGGCCTAGAACTTTTAATTCACAATGCAGTGAATAACTACTTATCCTTCCTATTACATATTTTATTAATAAATATTGAACTTTAGCCTGTGTCCTTAAAATAAGTTGTTTACATTTGGTGTTGCTAGGAAGTAGTGTACATGTTATTTTAATAAGAAAACTGTCAAATTGAAATGCCAAGACCAATGTTGTGTAGAAAGTATTTCTAAAAAGTTTTAGTTCTCTCAACGGAGCCTCACCAATCCACATAATATCCAACTAAAATAAGGGTTACTCCATTAAAAGGTGTGAGTAAATCTAGATAGCGCATGCCCACTGTCCACATTGTCTTGAGTTGCAAAATTATTCTCTAAAATGTGAATGGTCAGGAACTCAGACAGGGTTATTCATAGAAACATAGAATGTGACGGCAGATAAGAACCATTCGGCCCATCTAGTCTGCCCAATTTCCTAAATACTTTCATTAGTCCCTAGCCTTATCTTATAGTAAGGATAGCCTTATGCCTATCCCACGCATGCTTAAACTCCTTTACTGTGTTAACCTCTACCACTTCAACTGGAAGGCTATTCCATGCATCCACTACCCTCTCAGTAAAGTAATACTTCCGGATATTATTTTTATACCTTTGTCTCTCTAATTTAAGACTATGTCCTCTTGTTGTGGTAGTTTTTCTTCTTTTAAATATAGTCTCCTTTACTGTGTTGATTCTCTTTATGTATTAAAATGTTTCTATCATATCCCCCCTGTCTCGTTATTCCTCCAAGCTATACATGTTAAGATCCTTTAACCTTTCCTGGTGTTATCCCGCAATCCATGAACCAGTTTAGAAGCCCTTCTCTGAACCCTCTCTAAAATATCAATTTCCTTCTGAAGATACAGTCTCCAGTACCGTGTACAATACTCCAAATGAGGTCTCACCAGTGTTCTGTACAATGGCATGAGCACTTCCCTCTTTCTACTTCTAATACCTCTCCCTATACAACCAAGCATTCTGCTAGCATTTCCTGCTGCTCTATTACATTGTCTGCCTACCTTTAAGTCATCAGAAATAATCACCCCTAAATCCCTTTCCTCATATGTTGAGGTTAGGACTCTATCAAATATTCTGTACTCTGCCCTTGGGTTTTTACGTCCAAGATGCATTATCTTGCACTTATCCACATTAAATGTCAGTTGCCACAATTCTGACCATTTTTCTAGTTTACCTAAATTATTTGCCTTATCCCTCCTGGAACATCAACCCTGTTACATATCTTGGTATCATCAGCAAAAAGACATACCTTACCATCAAGACCTTCTGCAATATCACTAATAAAAATATTAAAGAGAATGGGTCCAAGTACAGATCCCTGAGGTATCCCACTGGTGACAAATCCAAGCTTCGAATATATTCCATTAACTACAACCCTCTGTTGCCTGTCACTCAGCCACTGCCTTACCCATTCAACAATATTGGAATCCAAATTTAAAGATTGCAGTTTTTTTGATAAGCCTTCTATGTGCAACAGTGTCAAAAGCCTTACTGAAATCTAGGTAAGTAATGTCTACTGCACCACCCTGATCTATAATTTTAGTTACCCAATCAAAAAAAAAAAAAAAATCAATAAGATTAGTTTGGCATGATCTCCCTGAAGTAAACCCATGTGTTTTTAGATGTTCAACAATCCTATCCTTTAACATGGTTTCAATCACTTTCCCCACTACTGAAGTAAGGCTTACTGGCCTATGGTTGCCCGACTCCTCCCTATTATCTTTCTTGTGAAGAGGCACAAGATTTGTGAACTTCCAATCTTCTGGGACTACTCCTGTTAATGATTGGTTAAGCAAGTCTGTTAATGGTTTTGCTAGTACACCACTAAGCTCTTTTAAGTGACAGTTCATTTAATTTAAATGTAAGGCCAGAGTAGCTGACTTAATGATTTATTATTATAATGGATGAAATTCACTTTAGATTACCCTTAAAATAAATTTAAAGCTGCAGGCCAATATAGTGCAAAAAGTAAGTACGGTTAATCTTTCAAGATCGCCAATATACAAGGATATAGTCCAAAATTCATTTTAAGAATTGTTATAGAATAGGCCTAGCAATGCCACATTTAAAATAGTGCTGAACTATTAGTGCAATTTGTAGTCAACACATCTATAATCTTGATCCGAGGCTGTATTGAGTGGTTGTGCAGTAGGGGCTCTCTGCAGTCAAGATGCTCTGGACTTCACCCATGATTCTCAGCCAGGTACCAATTACCAATGGTCTCTATCTGGGACTGCACCAATAGTGCATTTTGTGCCTGTCTGGAAGAATGTTGCTTCCCATATTCTAAATCCTGCATGCCCATTAAATATCCACCTTATATTTCTTTCAGAGCCATCACCTCATGGGCAAGAGAGGCATAAGATAGCTTCAACACATGTTCTTTCCTTCACCGGGATGTTCCATCACTACAAGCCACCTATGTTTAGCAGAGCTACAGACCCGGTCACTTTTCCCATAGAGAAGAACTTTAATAGTCCTGAAGCCCCTTCATGTTTGCTTCAATCTCAAGAATGTTATTCTAATGTAGTGAATTCTACCACTGACTCCATGCAAAATTATACCTTGTTCTAGCAAGTTATGCTTTTAATTGGAGCAGTAATTTAAACTGCAACATTACTAAAATCGAGTTCTCTACATTATCTTAACATTTACATACTCATTGCAATTACTCAAGATACAGAATGATTTATAAACAGGATTTTATTATATGCCCACTAAGAAATTATGCTTTCTTGGCAGCTTTGGCCTCCTTTTGGAGCTTTTTCATTTCATGTCTGATGATCTTGTTCCTCTGTGAAAAGATAACAAAAAACAGTGTAAGAAAATATATTGTGTGGTCACTGGCCTGACTGTCTTCTCCCATCATGATACACAAATACAGATCTTACAAATTAACACTCCACGCACCATACCCACCAGTCTGATGTAGTGGTTATGGTGCCAGGAATGCCATGGCACTATCCCATGGTAAGTAGCCAAACTGTTTTAGAGTAGTTTGACAACTTATTCCGGTAAAGCTGGGTGCATGCAGATGCAGCACCTACATCCATTTTTCACCTGCAGAACAATCTACTAGCTCTACAGAGTTAAGCAGGAATGTGCTCCTTCATAGAGAGAGTCACCTAAGCGCTCTCAGCTAAAGAGAGTAGTCCTAGATCATGAGTCTTGTTTTATAGAGATATGTTCTGTAGAACACCAGATGCGACCTGGTCACACAATGAAACCAGGTACGTTTTTAAACTATGCTTTTATGTGGAACAGTACACCAAGGCACTCCTTGTGCCATAGAATGTTTCTTAACACTCTGAAACTTACCTGGGTGTCCATGACCCTCCTGGTCTTCTCTGTTTCTAAAGCACAAGTTACTATACTATTTTAGCAATATCAGTTTTATCCAACTTTGGATATCACTCACTGGCTATAGAGTGTCTGCCAAGTCCTAACAGTGACAAGACATTTCTAAATTAGATTGGAGCTATGATCACAGACCAGAAATATCACAAGTACATGTGAAACACAGGTAGTTGTCAATTCATTAAAATAGTTTTATTTCTTACTAAAATAGTTTTATTTCTTACTAGTACAAAGCTCTCTAGTAGTTATGGCGCTTAGTGTGCCCATTTAAGTAACATACATGCTGTAGTGCAGAAAAATATGGATGCTTTGAAGAGCATGAATCATATTTAATCAGCTTCATGATGTAATACTAACGCAGGAAAAAGTACATACTGTTTAAAAAAAAAAAAAAAAAACACACCAAATTTTGACTACACCTCCCCATAAAATCGGTTTACTAAACAACTAGAAGAGAATCAATTAAACCGATCACTGTTAAAGAAAAAAAACAAAACAAAACAAAAAAAACATACCATTTTCTTTGCCTTCATAACTTTGTAACGGTCAAAGTCTGACATCTTCGACTTCTACATGGAGAAAAGAAAAAAACAATTTTAAAAATTTAAATTATAAAAAACCCAGTAAACAAACTAAAGAGGATCAGACTCCACTTAACTCTAAGTAACATGCTATTTATCCCTGGCCATTCCACATAGTAGCCATACTGACAATTGAAGTGCATGTGCCCACATTACCAGTTCTCCCTCATACACCACACTGAGGGAAAGATTGTTAAATATGGACAGTAGAGACACATGCACATCCCAGCCATCAGTACAACTACTGGTTTGACCAATACTTCCAGGGCAGATGAATGTGATTTCAAAAACAATTTCCCATGCGCCACAGGTACTCAAGTGCTTCTCTATAAAAAGCACTGGACTTGAATGAGATTAAAGCTGATCTCACATAGTAATTGCTGCAAGAAGACTGTCCCTTGCTGGATTACAGGATAGTGTTTGTGTTTCCCAATTATTAAAGAGGATCTAAATCTAAAATAAGACCCCAAGGTTAAAGATATTTAATCATAAAGTGTTCCTTTAATTCTCTGATTTTAAGCCTTTCTGTGCCCTGCAGACCAAATAACGTTTACCTCTTTAAAAAAAAGTTACCTGTATACAATGAACACATGACAGGAAAAAGATGTGCTAGGAAAAGAGTGCAGAGCTTAAGGGATACATCTTAAGTGTTTTGAGCTACTCAGGAATATTTTTAACATTTCAAAAAAATTTTAAATATATTTTTAAGCGTGTTAATACACACCACTTTTTTCTACACGTGCCAAAAAAATGTCTTACAATTTAAAGAATACATAGAGGAAGAAAAATTACAGCCCCCATCATGTGACATGTTAAAGGACCACTCTAGGCACCCAGACCACTTCAGCTTAATGAAGTGGTCTGGGTGCCAGGTCCCTCTAGGATTAACCCATTTTTTCATAATTATAGCAGTTTCAGAGAAACTGCTATAATTATGAATGGGTTAAGCCTTCCCCCTAATCCTCTAGTGGCTGTCTCATTGACAGCCACTAGAGGCGCTTGCGTCTCACTGTGATTTTCACAGTGAGAGCACGCTGCCATAGGAAAGCATTGTAAATGCTTTCCTATGAGACCGCTGAATGCGCGCAGCTCTTGCAGCGCGCGCATTCAGCCGGCGGGGCGAAAGGAGGATTCCCGCCCAGCGCTGGAAAAAGGTAAGTTTAAACCCCTTTCCCCTTCCAGAGCCGGGCGGGAGGGGGACCCTGAGGGTGGGGGCACCCTCAGGGCACTATAGTGCCAGGAAAACGAGTATGTTTTCCTGGCACTATAGTGGTCCTTTAAAAAAAAAAAAAAAAAAAATGCAATTTCTGGCATGTAAGCCTTTAACACCCATTAACTTCTCACATTAGCTTTTTTTGTAAAGCCTACAAGCATTGCCTATAAAAAGCAGAGAACAGGTTCACTTTGAACATGGTTAATATCTAAACCTATAATATAATGTAGAACTGTCTTCCGATAAACATTTATAAAAAAAAACAAAAAAATACATTATTGCACATTCTGACCGCCATGGTTTCAAAAAAAAGTCATCATTGAGTTAAGTTAGACTATGCTTAAAAGCAGAAAAATAGTCACTTTATACATTCTGATTTGAATAAATTGGGGGACTGGGCAGTCATGTAGCTGAAGAAATGCACTACAGATAAATGCAAAATCATGCATTTTTGAGAGAGAAAAAAACCCCACACGTCACTTATAAATTAAATGGTGTTGTGCTAGGGATAACATTAAATGAAGGAGTTGAGAACAATTATAACGGTATAAAAGATATCTCCAATAAAAAATAAAATGTAAAAAACTGAAATAAACCAGGAGCAAGTAAATGGTAGTATATAGCAACAATAAAAACCCCACGGACGCGCACACACTGACTAAATGCAAAATGTCTAAATGGTTGCATAAAGCTCAGTTTAACGCTGTAATTAGATCAATTTCACATTCTCATTACAAATTCATAGTCACTGAAAGTTGAAAAGTGTCAATATGTAACAGTTTTTATAACAGAATGTAGCATTTGTGAAAGAGGTACAAACACATGCGGCTAACTCATAGTACGTCCAATAGAGGCAAGATCACTTTAGATGGTACAAGCAGAAATCTTCAAAATATAGAATCCATGTGGATAAAATAGGGAATAATAGTGCCAATCTTTAGTGTATAGATTATTAAGACTGCATATGAAGGAACCAAGCCTCTAGGAACGGCAATTCCTTGACTGCCCTAATATGCCAAGCTGGAGTCCGTGATGAGTCACTTACAGGGATTCGCATCCTGACAAGGAGTATGGCGTGTGTTACACTTACCGCCGGTTGCATTTCCACTAACAGTTTCACAGAACAAATATTGGGACAGCTGAGGGATCACCACAACAAGGGCTTCATAATCAATGGTAAGACCCCCCCCCACTTTGAAAATGTGGTGCAAGTAGGACATTACAAAACTAGAAAGAGTGTAGAGGTGAGCTACAAATTCAAAAAGGGGAACAGAAAACACTTGGTTTTGAAGAGACAAGGGGGGGGGGGCGAGTACTTGTTTACTTTAGAAAAAAGGTACCTCGTGAGGTCACCCATTGAAAGGCAGGAAGAAAGGTATTTTCGCTTAGAGCAGAGGAAAATATTAGACGGTAAAAACAATAAAACTATTGTAATTCTCTACCCAAAGAGAGTCTCCTATTAGATTCTATATATATATATATTTTTTTTTTCATTCATGGGTATTATGGACATGTATGAACAAGTTGTTAATCCAAGAATAAATCTTATTGCCATGAGTCAAGAAAGATTGTTTCCCACTTTTGTGACATAACCGGAAATTGCTAGAATTGTTTTTTTTGCCTTCTTTTATCATAAAAGAATGAGTTTCAAAGTTGAAATAGATTGACTTTAGCTCAACCTAGACTATGTATATAATAGAATAAAAACAATGTGGTCCTAATCTTAAAAGGACCACTATAGTGCCGGGAAAACACTTGTTTTCCCGGCACTAAAGTGCCCTGAGGGTGCCCCCACCCTCAGGGACCCCCTCCCGCCAGGCTCTTGGGAGAGGAAGGGGTTAAACTTACCTCTTTCTTCAGCGCCGGGCGGGGAGCTCTCCTCCCTCTTCTTCTGTCACCGGCTGAATGCTCATCCGTGGCAAGAGCCACGTGCGCATTCAGCCAGTCCATAGGAAAGCATTCTCAATGCATCTAGCGGTTGTCAAGAGACAGCCACCGGAGGCTGGATTAACCCTATTATAAAAACATAGCAGTTTCTCTGAAACTGCTATGTTTATATAACACAAAAATTTTAAAAAGGGTTAACCCTAGCTGGACCTGGCACCCAGACCACTTCATTAAGCTGAAGTGGTCTGGGTGCCTATAGTAGTCCTTTAAACCTGCAGCAAGACATATCTGGGCAAGTGTGAAGATTAACAAATGCTTTTCCTTAGCCACCCATGATTTACAGCAGTTCAAAGATCAATTGGACCACTTGAAATTAAGTTAGTTTGGTGATATAGTTGAAACAAAACATTTACAGTTCTAATATGAATGCAGGTTTACTCTGTGTTGTACATTAAAAAGATACATTACCCTGTCTCTGGCTTCAATTTTCTTTGCCCAATTTGTTGCTGCCCACTTCTCGTTAATCTTTTCCTTCTCCCAGGCAACTCGAACAAACTTTTGACGAGCACTAGAATTCAAAGTTTTATTTCAAACCGTTAACTGAATTGCAAAAGCAGTTACAAGATATCAGATAAATTAAAACTTAAATGAGAAAAGGACTAAACAAATCAGTCTCAGAAAGTGCTTTGTCTATTGGGACGTAAACCAAAACATAACTCGCCCAGGGTGCGCTGTCAGATCAAACTTTTCGACGCAAAATGGACACGTCAGTCATGATCTAGTGTGCTGGTTTATTTTTTTTTTTTATCAATATCATTTTATTGTGGTAAAAAGGATGAAAGCAAGTTCAATGTTGTAACAGGATACAAATAGTTTCATACAAAACAGCGGTAATCACAATGCATTGCATAGCATTCCCGGACCATTGTTGGTCTCCCTTCTACCAATATTTTTTGTTATTGTGTAATAGACACCCATACTGGGCTATGAAAAGATGAGGGAGCCAGTTCAGGGTCCAGAATTTATCACTTAATTTTAGCTATAGGGCTCACGCCCAGTGGGTTATAAGAGATTATGAATACCATTTTAGTGTGCTGGTTTAATGAACATAAGACACTACTGCACATAACTTATTCAGTATCCAGACTAAAAAGGTGAAGCATAGATTTTAGAAGAACTCCCACCCACTCTAGCTAGCACGATGAAGTAAAATAAATCAGGAAATACCAACTCACACATCAAACTGCAGGCTTATATAAACCACCACACAAGTCAAAAATAACACTAGGAACCCCCAAACAGAACAAGGTTGTTCAATAAGAAATAGTAACATACCTGTGGGGAAACTTTATAACAAAGTCTGTAAGCTGCATGCACTTGAATGGCATGGCCTGTCTTCTGACACCACTGCAAGGACCATCTACAAGGGCCTGTAAATAAAACAATTAGTTAATCAAAATTCTGGAGAACATTTCTTAACACACAGATAGCTATCCTTGGAACAGCATCTGGTAACTATTTTTAAAGACTCCTAGAGCTTCTGGTCATCACAGCTATAAACTTTTTTAAGCAGACTAATTTACCAATCTTCCACGAGACAACAAAAAATATAAATTACAAAAATGTTCTACAAATGAAAGCAAGGGATACCCAAACACTTGGCAAACTTTGCTGCAATGGCAATGTATTCAGTCATCACAGAAAGGCAACGCTTCAGCACACTGGGTGTATTTCTCAAGCCTGAGGCTGTTGAGGTTTTCCTTCCATTCATTTGTATGCTGTTTAGTCCTTTGGCATACAAACCTGTGGCATAGGCAGCCAAGATTGGCTGGTTTAATTTTTACTCCACACACCATCAGTTTATTCATAAAAAAAACAAAAAACTAACCCTGTTCTGGTCAATGACGTCAACGATTGCCACTAATTTGCCAGCGTGAGGTCCAAATGAGATGTAGGCTATCCGGCCAATCTGTACATAGCGCTTGAACACCTGCAATAGAAATTTTTTTAATATTGCAATTAAGTGTTTAATCAAACTTTGTTTGGTCTACTGATCTATTACTGTACATTAAAATAAATAGTTAAGTGGAACACTACTAATAGCAAAGATAAAGCTAAGGAAAACATCCCCATACAAGAAATCTGATATTAACACAATGGAATTAATTTTATAAATTTAAGATCTGAATTATTCAGCATTGCAAATAAACTGAATCCACCTTAAAGAAATACTCAAACATGTCTAGAGTCTGTTATTCATGACACTTTATAAACGTGCAGATATAAAACTTGGCCTAAACGCCTCCCCAGTTGTCCAAGAGCTGGGGAGATTTACTTCCATTAAACTTAAGCTCCATCTCCTATCACCTAACATTCAAAGACCCTTTGATGCAGTCACAATGTCAGCAGGGAAGCAACACTTACCATGGGCGTGCAGACCCTGTATCAGAGGATAGTGTGGCTAGTTCTAACAGACAGCACTACAGGACAGTGTAACTAGAATTTACCATGGCCTTACAGACGCAGTAACAGAGCGCAGCATGCCTGGATCCTACAGCCCCAGTATCAGAGCGCAACATGCCTGGCTCCTACAGGCCCAGTATCAGAGGGCAGCATGCCCGGCTTCTACAGCCCCAGTATCATAGGGCAGCATGCCCGGCTTCTACAAGCCCAGTATCAGAGGGCAGCATGCCCGGCTCCCACAGACCCAGTATCAGAGGGCAATATGCCCGGCTCCTACAGGCCCAGTATCAGAGAGCAACATGCCCGGCTCCTACAGCCCCAGTAACAGAGGGCAGCATGCCCGGCTCCTACAGCCCCAGTAACAGAGGGCAGCATGCCCGGCTCCTACAGGCCCAGTATCAGAGGGCAGCATGCCCGGCTCCTACAGGCCCAGTATCAGAGGGCAGCATGCCCGGCTCCTACAGGCCCAGTATCAGAGGGCAGCATGCCCGGCTCCTACAGGCCCAGTATCAGAGGGCAGCATGCCCGGCTCCTACAGGCCCAGTATCCAGCAGTATCAGAGGGCAATGTGACTGGGTGCAGGGCCAGTATCAGAGGGCGGCGTGCCTGGCTCCTACAGACCCAGTATCAGAGGGCAGCATGCCCGGATCCTACAGGCCCAGTATCAGAGGGCAGCATGCCCGGCTCCCACAGACCCAGTATCAGAGGGCAGCATGCCCGGCTCCCACAGACCCAGTATCAGAGGGCAGCATGCCCGGCTCCTACAGGCCCAGTATCAGAGGGCGGCATGCCCGGCTCCTACAGGCCCAGTATCAGAGGGCGGCATGCCCGGCTCCTACAGCCCCAGTATCAGAGGGCAGCATGCCCGGCTCCTACAGCCCCAGTATCAGAGGGCAGCATGCCCGGCTCCTACAGCCCCAGTATCAGAGAGCAGCAAGCCCGGCTCATACAGACCCAGTATCAGAGGGCAGCATGCCCGGCTCCTACAGGCCCAGTATCAGAGGGCAGCATGCCCGGCTCCTACAGCCCCAGTATCAGAGGGCAGCATGCCCGGCTCCTACAGGCCCAGTATCAGAGGGCAATGTGACTGGGTGCAGGCCCAGTATCAGAGGGCAGCATGCCCGGCTCCTACAGCCCCAGTATCAGAGGGCAGCATGCCCGGCTCCTACAGACCCAGTATCAGAGGGCAACATGCCCGGCTCTCACAGCCCCAGTATCAGAGGGCAGCATGCCTGGCTCCTACAGGCCCAGTATCAGAGGGCAGCATGCCCGGCTCCTACAGACCCAGTATCAGAGGGCAGCATGCCCGGCTCCTACAGACCCAGTATCAGAGGGCAGCATGCCCGGCTCCTACAGGCCCAGTATCAGAGGGCAATGTGACTGGGTGCAGGCCCAGTATCAGAGGGCAGCATGCCCGGCTCCTACAGCCCCAGTATCAGAGGGCAACATGCCCGGCTCTCACAGCCCCAGTATCAGAGGGCAGCATGCCCGGCTCCTACAGGCCCAGTATCAGAGGGCAATGTGACTGGGTGCAGGGCCAGTGGAAGGCAGCCTGCTATTGGCCTGGTCCGAGTGGTTACATCCAGCCAGGTATGCGGATAGGGGGCCCAGGAGCGATGCAGTCCGCCAGCCCCATGGCCTATTCACCCAGAGAGCCTCCACGCGGCCCAGGCGGCTCCCGGCTTTAATCCAATCCAGGTACTTCACCAGGCGACACCGCTGGGTAGCCTGCCCTAGGCCCTTTGCCCCCAGCCTCTCTAACTCGGTATCACCGCCTAATAGATCCATACAGAACCGCCGGCACACGGAGCGATCGCTCACACAACTCACCATGATGGCGGCGGCGAGCAGAAAGGAAGGGCCTGCGCCAGCGCTTTCCGGATAGTCCTCTCTGCTCAGCCAATGAACGCGCTGCGTTAGAACGCGTCACAGCTCCTGGCGACTAGGGGCAGAGTTGGGAAAAGGCATGGAGTTGGTCGAGCTCTGCAATACGATTGGCGGATAGGTGGAGACAGAGCATGCGTGTTCTAAACGCTAGAGACAATGTCCGTACACAGCTTGCCTGTAACATAGCACACAGGCCTGAGAGAACATGTCCACAAATCCACTTTTCGGAGTTTAGTGTATAAACCTCTTTAGAGATTTTTTCCCCACATTTTATAGCGGGCCTAAGATTTGAATTTTTGACAAGTCACACTTTAGTGAATAAAATACTTCCCAACTGTCACTATTATAAGGGACAGTCCTTATTTGGACCCAGATTCCTCTGTCCCTCATTTCTATCCTAATGTCCCTTTATTCCAGGAGTGCCTTATTCTTGGTGTGTCTGGGGGTATAAAAGTGCTCTGCAGAAATAATATTCACTGTAATTTGTCTAAACTACAATTAAAGTGTTTAGAAATTACTCTATAAATTAAGATTTATTTATTTATAAATAATTTTAATTTTTTTTTTACCATGAAGCATATATTGAGATTTCTCTTATTTTAAAGTATGTTCTGGGCCCACAAACATTGCATTGTTACAATAGGGTACAATATAATTTGACAAAAATAATACAATACACACATACACACACACACATATACATACACACACACACACATATACACACACACACATATATATATATACACACACATGTAACACATAAGAAATATAGCCGAGCAAGTTACATAGTTCTTCCTATAAATTATATACAGCTTCACTCACACCCCTAAAATTAAGGTGTCCCTCTTTGTCCATTTTAAATGTTGTGAAGTATGCTGTTACCAGTAATTGTGAAAAAGAACATGGAATTTTATACCAAATGGAAAAAATTGTGCACCTTACCCATACCTCAAAATAGTCATCAACAGGCCAACAGGCAAACAGGAATTGCTTGATGGGCCGCGATGGGCAAAGGCAAGAGGCAGACTGGGGCTAACACGCCCCAGGCCTCTCTAATGCCTGTATAAAACGGCTGCCAGGGTTGGATTTGCCAGAAGGCCACCGGCAGGCAGGAGAGGGACAGCATGACCAGTGGGGAAATCAAGATCTCCCTCGCCAGCCAGCCCATTTTCTTGCTGTGTGACTGCGGCTGACAGTGGAGATTTTCCGGCTGGCAACAGTAGGCAGTGCTGTATTCGTGGCTAAGAGTTAGTCTTAAACAGGAAAAGGTGCAGCCTTGACAGGCAGGCATGGGGTAAATTTAGATTAGGGGATGTGCCAGAGTTTCATCATCCTTAGGGCAGCACAAAACCAAAAAACACCACTGCCTGCCCTACAGGGCTGAAGTTGATTAGAGGGAGGCTTTCCCTCATCTTTACTATAGGATGCTGCAATGGATTATGATACATTTCTCGGCGCCGGCCAAAAGGAGCTGTCTGCACCCACTGGGGGTGCACAATGTAGACATGCTGCATTTCCCACCGGACCACCAGGGAACCGGATCCCACCCTCCCTGAAACACAGTAAGCCACAGGGAGGTGGAAGAAACATTTATACAGCCCCTGTCACTCCACCACAACAGTCTTAAAATTCTCAACTAACAATTTTAGTCAAATTTTATAATTGACTAAAATTAAAACAAATTAGATGATTAAAATACGACAAAAACTAAAATGGCTTTCTAGTCAAGACTATGACTAACACTAAATTTAAATTTACCTAAAAAATTAACATTGCACAGAGGGGCTGTGAAAGTGGCAAAAGAGACAGACCAGGGCTTGGAAGAGAGGGTCTGGGAGGACACAAAGAGACATAGAGGGGCTGGGAAAGGGGCAAAAGAGACAGATAGAGGCTTTAAAGGACCACTATAGGCACCTAGACCACTTCAGCTCAATGAAGTGGTCTGAGTGCCAGGTCCCCCTAGTTTTAACCCTGCAACTGTAAACATAGCAGTTTCAGTGAATTGCAGGTTTAATCCAGCCTCTAGTGCAGGCATAGGCAACCTTTAGCACTCCAGATGTTTTGGACTACACCTTCCATGATGCTTTGCCAGCATTATGGGTGTAAGAGCATTATGGGGGATGTAGTCCACAACATCTGGAGTGCTGAAGATTGCCTATCCCAGCTCTAGTGGCTGTCTCCCTAACAGTCACTAGAGGCCGCTTCCATGATTTTCAGTGAGAAAATCGCACTGAAATGACGCTGGACGTCCTCATGGAGTCCAGCGTCAAATAAAATCCCAATAGGAAAGCATTGAGTAATGCTTTCCTATGGGCAGGTTTAAATGCGCATTCGGCTCCACTCAGGAGCTGACGTCTGCAGGGGGAGGAAAGGTCACCAGCGCCGAGGGAGCCCGGCGCTGGATTGAGGTAAATGGCTGAAGGGGTTTTAACCCCTCCAGTTCCGAGGGAGGGGGGGACCTATTAACCCTCCTGGCACTATAGAATCCCTTTAACTAAACCCATTAGATTTTAGTCGTGTCGACTAAAATCTACTGGAGATTTAGTAGACTAAAATCTCGTGGCAATTTAGTCTATCAAAAACTAAAACAATTCAGATGAATAAAAAACTAAAATGTATTTTTAGTCAAAAAACTATGACTAAAACTAAATTGAAATTTGCCGCCACAATTAACACTGCACCACAGCCATGTCACCCACCGCAGTCCCTGTCAACCCCGCCACAACCCCTATCCACCCCACAATAGTCCCTATCCTCCTACTACAGTCTCTTTTCCCCTACTATAGCCCGTCACCCCACTATCCAACCAAAAATATTCCCTATCCCCCACTATAGCCACTTATTCCCCAGACCTAACATGAAATCCAGCCCTGATTACTCTCCTTTCGTATGCTTGCTGTTTCACTATATTCAAATAAAGAGCCAAGTGCCCTTGCCCAAACACCGCTGCTCCGTCCTGCTGTGCGCCTTCAGGGGCTGGTGGGGAGATCAAAAATCTCCCTCACTGGCCCACATGCATTTACATGTGGCCGCCGGCTGGGGAGGGAGGGAGAGAGGACCCGGAGGAGCTCTAACCTGCAGCTCTACCGGGTTCCTCTCGCGAGATCCGGAGCGTTGCCGCGGTTAGCCCTGCAGACTAGCGTTCACTCACCACTAGGACCGCCAGAGTCAAAAGGTAAGAAGGGAGGGTAGTGGATATAAAGTTTAGTTCTTTTTAATAAAAAAAGTCTATACTTAATATATTTACATCTGTCCCCCCCCCCCACACACCAGCTCTCCAAACATATTCACACTCACACTAATAGCCCCCTCACACACACAGCACCCTCACACACACAGCACCCTCACAGCACAGTCACACCAACAGCACCCTCACACACGCAGCACCCTCAAACACACAGCACCCTCTCACCCACACAGCACACATTTAGACACAGACAGCACCGTTACACACACAGCACACTCACACACACATATATATATAATATATAAAATAACCCTCAGTGAGTTAATAGACATCTGTGATGGCAGATAAGAACACACACACAGCACCCCTCTTACACACACACACTGCACCCCTCACACACATGCTGCACCCTTCACACATACACACAGCACACCAGTGGCGGATCCAGAGCCTGATCTCTGGAGTGGCACTTGTAGATTATTTAAATAAATAATCCTGGCACAATAACCACTACAGCTCAGTGTAGAAGTTATGGTGCCAGTAGTGCCAGGATCCCACCCCAGAGTAAGTAGTCATACCGTATAAGAACAGTTTGACAACTTACCTGGGGTCTTCTGGGATATAGGGCATAGGAGCAGTGGTGTGTGTGAGCGGTGAAGTGTGTGTGAGTGCGTAAGGGCAGCAGTGTATGTCAGGGTTGCAGTGTGTGTTAGGGGGCAGTGTATGTGTGGGGCAGTGTGTGTGTGTGAGGGTGGCAGTGTGTGTATGGGGAGCACTGTATGAATGGGGGGGCACTGTATGTATGTGTGGGGCAGTGTGTGTATGGGGGGGCACTGTGTGTATGGGGGGGTCGTGTGTGGGGGGGCAGCAGTGTGTGTAGGGCACTGTATGTGTATGGGTGTGCAGTGTGTGTATGTGGGGCAATGTGTGTATGGGTGTGCAGTGTGTGTATGGGGGCAGTGTATATGGGTGTGCAGTGTGTGTATGGGGACAGTGTTTGTGGGGCAGTGTGTGTATCGGGACAGTGTTTGTGGGGCAGTGTGTGTATGGGGACAGTGTTTGTGGGTGTGCAGTGTGTGTATGGGGGCAGTGTATGGGGGCAGTGTGTGTATGGGGGCAGTGTTTGGGGGCAGTGTGTGTATGGGGACAGTGTTTGTGGGTGTGCAGTGTGTGTATGGGGACAGTGTTTGTGGTGCAGTGTGTAAGAGGACAGTGTTTGTGGGTGTGCAGTGTGTGTATGTGGACAGTGTTTGTGGTGCAGTGTGTGTATGGGGACAGTGTTTGTGGGTGTGCAGTGTGTGCTTGTGGGGCAGTGTGTGTATAGGGGCAGTGTTTGTGGGGCAGTGTGTGTATGGGGACAGTGTTTGTGGGGCAGTGCAGTGTGTGTATGGGGACAGTGTTTGTGGGGCAGTGTGTATGGGGATAGTGTTTGTGGTGCAGTGTGTGTATGGGGACAGTGTTTGTGGGTGTGCAGTTTGTGTATGGTGACAGTGTTTGTGGGGCAGTGTGTGTATGGGGACAGTGTTTGTGGGTGTGCAGTGTGTGTATGGGGACAGTGTTTGTATGGGGGCAGTGTGTGTATGGGGACAGTGTTTGTGGGGCAGTGTGTGTATGGGTGTGCAGTTTGTGTATGGGGATAGTGTTTGTGGGGCAGTGTGTGTATGGGGACAGTGTTTGTGGGTGTGCAGTGTGTGTATGGGGACAGTGTTTGTGGTGCAGTGTGTGTATGGGGGCAGTGTTTGTGGTGCAGTGTGTGTATGGGGACAGTGTTTGTGGGGCAGTGTGTGTATGGGAGGGAGGAGGGAAGGGAGGCTTTTTAATAAATAAATAAAAAAATGTATTAAATAAAATAAATATATTTATGTCCCCCCTCCCTTCTTACCTTTATTGAGGAGGAGGGGGGAC